CAACCAGACAGTGAGGCTGAGCGCTAAGCAGGTGGGGCTGGAGTGTGGTGGTGGATTCAGGGGATATATGTGTATGTGGGGAGGGGGTTCCAAATGGGGTGAGAGGAGTCATAAAGTGATGAAGGAGCAGGTGGGGGTGAGGGGAGATGTGGAGGGTGGAGCTGGAGGTATTAGCTATACCGTGAGTCCTCCTTGCTTCCTCGTTCTGTGCTCACCTCCATGTGTTCTGACCACCCCAGCTCCACACCCTCTCTTCCTCCCTGTGGGGACCTGAAAATTCACGGCTGCAGCTGAATTTCCGAGCCACACAGCCTCTGAATGGACGCATCATCGAGGCCTCCTTCTCTGCTTCTGCAGGCGACCATGTTGTGGACAGCAGACCTCGGAGCATTGAGTCAGGTGCAGGAAGGCGACTGGGGAATTTCCACCATTTCCTGCCTCCCACCCCCACCCCAACCATCACCCATGGGTGTGCGCACGTGCGCACGTGCGCACACACACACACACACACAATCTCCCTCCTCTGTTCCAGGATCCTTATTTGTGCTGTGTCTTTACTGGTGGCTATAGCGCCCTTCTCTAATGCCTGTATTTTTCTCCTTAGCTCATTTGAACTCCTGCTTTGCCACTGGTAAGTTTGTCCTGATGCTGGGGGATACCTTAGGCATCATTCGGCCCATGTCTGCTTCCACTCCTTTTCTGCAGACCTGCAGCCCTCGTAGGAGAGTGTCAGGTCAAGGTGGGGAACGCCAGGGCCTGGGAGATGGCTTGGGCTCAGGGGACTAGAGCACATGGTCCGCCAGCAACACTGGGAGTGAGCCTCAAGCACTGGCCCAGAGTAGCCACTCGGTGTGGCCAAACAAAAGGCAAAAAGCATTTTTGTGTGTGTGGTCAAGGTAAACTAGGATCCAACAATCTAACACCCTTCTTTCCACATACCCTCTTTTACTTCTTTGTTACGGAGGACAAAAGGGTTAAGCTTCACCTTATTCCTTCCTATAGACCCACCTGCATCCTTTTGCCAGGTTTTTCTGAATTGAGATCATGGGGGCAGCTAGAGAATGTGGGGTAAGAGGTTGAGGATAAACTGAGGCTTCTTGGAACTCTCGGCCCTCCTCTTGAGCCCCTGAGCCCTCCTCTTCTGTCCCTCCAGGTGACATCCTGGCCCTGGTGTTCGGCTTCCTCTTTGCTGTCACAGGCATCGCCTGCCTTGTGCTGATGCGAAAGTTGCTCAGGTAGGAGAGAGGCTGACCATGCCCCCCAACCTAGGGGCGGCGCCCAGGGGTGTCATGCCAATAGCTCACCCTGCTCCAGTTTTCCGATGAGGCTTCCTGTTGTGTAGACGCCAGAGTGGGACCAAAGGGAACATCAGTTACCACCCTGCAGCTTCCACCGAGGCTGAGACTGTCACCTAGAGACTGGAGCCCGCCCTAAGTAACTCAAGGAAGCGGCGGGGCAGCTGGAGACCTGAGCCCCCCTGCGTCTGTGCCGCCCATGACCTCACTTTCAAACCTCTGGAGATTTTTTTTTTTTAATAAAAGTTTCTAATAAAATATATGGAGCATACATTTGTTTCTCCTAATCAGAAGGATGGGATATTCTTTCTCATTACTGAGGTAAGAAATTTCCAGGCAGTTCATGACACTGTCAGTGTTTTTCCCTGTCTGACTTCTGAGGCTCAGAAGTCCAAATAGGTGTTGCCAGGGCTGGTCCCTGCCAGGGGCTCTGAGAGAGGAATGTCTCCTTACCTTTTATGGGGGCCACACCCAGCAATGCTCAGGGCTTACTCCTGGCTCTGCACCCAGAAATCACTCCTGGCGGGCTCAGAGAACCATATGGGGTGCCAGGGATCGAATCCAGGTGAGCCACATGTAAGGCAAACCCCCACAAGCTGTACTATCTCTCCAACATACCCTCTCCCCACTCTCCTTACATTTTAGCTTCCAGAAGCCCCATACCATACTCAACTCATGACCTTGAATTGATTCCAATCTTGTTTCTATCTTACAGCTCCTACAGTTGCCTTTGATCATCTTTCCTCCCTCTTTTTATTTTCTTTTGAGGTCACACCTGGTGTTGCTTACCGGGTTCTGCACTCAGGAATCACTCCTGGTGGTGCCCAGGGGACCATATGGGATGCCAAGGATTGAACTCTGGTCCAGTGTGTACAAGGCAAATGTTTTACCTACTGTACTAACTCTCCAGATCTTGACTCCCTCTTATTTTTTTTTAACATAGGAGTACTTCTATTATTCAGTCATTGATTAAGCTGATTGAATTGGGCATGAACTCCACATTACTTTAAAAATTTTTTTTAATTTGATACCCATGAGATAGATCATTACAAAGCTGTTCATAATTGGGTTTCAGTCATATAATGATCCAGCATCCTTTCTCCACCAGTGTACATTTCCCACCACTAATGTCTCCCATTTTCCCACCACCTTCCCCCAAACCCCCACTCCCACCCCCCAGCCTCCCTCATGGGAGGGAGGTACTTTCCTTCCTTCTCTCTCTCTCTCTCTCTCTCTCTCTCTCTCTCTCTCTCTCTCTCTCTCTCTCTCTCCTTTTCCTTTTGTGCATTATGGTTTGCAGTACAGGTGCTAAGAGTTCACTGTTTATTTAGGGCATTTGGTATTTTTATCGGGATGGTAAGGCTGGAGTAGTTTTTCAATAGGGTGGCTGCTTTGGGGTGTGGATGTGACTGCCCCAGGCTTCCGGAAGTACAGGGAGGTGGGGGTCCTACCCCCATCCCGACCCCAAGAAAGCCTGGAGATTTCAGTCACAGAACCCACATATCAGAATTTCCAGCAGATTATGTCTTGGTAAGGTCCGTCCTGAGACAGTGGAGTCAGGCCACAGGTATGGTGACGATTTTGGATTGTGGAAGCAAGTAGCTTCCAGGGGCTCTGCTTGGGTGGGCCCCAGGCCAACCTGCCCCCCTCCAGCTGAACCCAGGTCTGTTCAGCCATGCACGGGTCCGAGCTTAACTACGGCTTTTGATCTCTTTTGAGATTTATCTATGGGTCTCTGAAATAAGGCCAATAAAAGAGCTTGAATAGCTGAGTTGGAGGTGGTTTGTGGGCATGGCTCCCACATATCTAAATTTTGGCCATTTACTTACTTGGTAAACTTGATCCCAAGTTGTTGGGGTCCGGCCAAAATTGCCTCCCTCTTATAATGGTTCTTGAGATCATATTGGGCATACTCAGACAAGCTAGAGTAATCTTTGCCACTTCAAAATTCTTAGTTTAATCACAGGTTACCCCACCCATGTGTCATAGCTCAGTATCAGGGAGTGACATCTCTGCTGCAAACATTATTTTGCCTACCACAGACTCTGTTAGGAAGCGGGTGAAAATGATGGAGAATCATGAGAAGAGACACAAGTGTGCATAGGCCATATATATGTGTCAAATAGAGAGAGGGCTGGCTCAGTCTCTGGGCTCCAGATCATGATGAAGGGCTGGTGATTTGGCCCAAGGGTAAAGCACACATTTGCCTGTGTGAGAACTGGGTTCCTTTCCCAGCACCACAAGAAAGAAAGAAAGAAAGAAAGAAAGAAAGAAAGAAAGAAAGAAAGAAAACACACACACACACACACACACACACACACACACACACACACACACACCAATGATCCAGGTGAAGCTTTTGAGCTTTCAGCCCACTCAGGTAAAATCTCCTCAGCTTCTTACAGTGTTGTTTCAGATTGTACCACTGGGCCTAGCTGCCCCCTGGAACAGTGGCTGACAGCAGTTCCTTTGTCCTGTGGGTGCCAGGGTCAGGAGCTCCCCCTACCCCATTGGGTGTCTCTGCTTTACACCACCTGCCCACATTTCCCCCTCAATGAGCCAGCCCCACCTAAAGGAAGTCATCCCAGGGCACAGAGACAGGCCCTGAGCTCTCCACAGCCAACTCCATCACTGCCCTCAGGCACCCTCGAAGCCGGCTTCATTTTGAGCAGGAGCCCCTGAGGGACAACACCCAAGAAAGGTTTCTAGGGCACTGAGATGTCAGTAACATGGTTTTATTGGGTCGGGTGTGGGGCGGGGAGGCCCCCTCACATGTTGTTGAGTTCCAGCAGAGTCTGGTCGAGGGTCTGGTGGATCTCCACGTTCTCCTCCTTGGCACTGGCCAAGGTCTCTGTGAGGGGAAGCAACACATGAGGAAGGGGAGGGAGGCACAAGGGGCTCGGTCAGGGAGACACGGTGGGTGATGGGGGGTGGGGCATGACTCGACATGGAGTGAATTGAAGGCACAGGAAGACACATGTCTTCGGAAATCCAAGGGGCTCTGGTGGGGGAAAACGGACAGACAAACGAGGACGAGGGAATTGGAATGAGCAAAGAACACCTCACTCCAGCCTTTAGGGCCATAGAGCTGGGCAGGGGAGGCCTGGCGCCAGGAACTACCTCAACCCACCTTTGTGAGAAGGTGTGAGAACTGGAAACAGGAGGAAAGACAAGGAAAGGGAGCCAGGACAGAGACAGACAGACAGTCTCGAGGCATAAAACAGACCTGCAGGGAAAACCGCAGTTGGCTGGCATCGAGGGTTTTTCCAAACTTCATCCCAGACCTTTGGCAACCTCTGGCCCTCCCCTGCACCTCAACACCCCATTTCCCTTCAGTCTCTCTTCCTCATCCAGGAACCCCAGCTGAGTGGGTCAGAGTGTATGTGTGTGTGTGTGTGTGTGTGTGTGTGTGATGGGGATGGGGGTCAGTAGCCAGCGGTGCAGGCCGGGGTCTGCAGGGGTCTGTGACTTACAGAGGCCTGGGGGTGGGGGGCTGATAGTGATACACATCATACACGGATCATGTATGGTACATGCAGCAGTGAGAGAGAGTGGCAGGCAGGGAGGCAGTGACCATGCAGAGGGGCTTTGCGAGTGTTGGGGGAGGTGCTCAGCTGGAAGGAATCATAGACTGGAGGTGTCTGTGAGAGCCAAAGTGGTCGGGGGGTGACGGAAGTGCTCTCCCAGGAAAGCAGGAAGACAGTGTGGAGACAAAGTTGAGTTTATTGAGCAGCAGAGAAGGAGAGACCGGGTTGTGGGCAGGGAGAGTGAAATGGAGGATGAAGCAAGAGGCAGGTGGGTGGTGGGGGGTGCTGGGGCTCTCCTAGGCTGCGCCCCACTTGGCCGGGTAGTACTGGCAAGTTCTGCTCCTGCTGCCTGAGAGAACAGAGGAGAAGGGCCCGAGAAGCCGCCCTGGGAGGGGCTCAAAGGGAGGTGATGTCATTGAGTGCGTTGTCCAGCTCCTCACTGATGGCCTTGTACTTCATCTTCTGCGCATAGACTTCATCTGGGGTCCCATGGGGGGATGGGTGGAGGAAGGGGGCATGTCAGGGGAGGGAGTGGAGGGAATAAGGAAAGGAAGGACGGGTGATGGAGAGAGAACAAGAGTCAGAGAGAGGTAGACAAAGAATAAGTGCAGGAGAGCAAGGCCAGAGAATAGACAGATCAGCCATCATGGCTTCCTCCTCCTCCTCCTCCTCCTCTCTCTCTCCCCCTTTCTCTCTGGTCTTTCTCTGCACCCCAAATTGATTCCCATCCGTGTCCCCACTGCCAAGGAGTTCTTTGCCCACAAGCTGGGGCACAGTGCTTTGAAAAAGCAAGAACCTTTGCTTTAAGGGGCAGGGACTTGAATCAAAAAGGTTTAAAGGCACAAAGTTGGAGATAAAAATAGAGTTGTGCCCCAGAAGATGGGAAGCAGAAGTGGGGGTTACAAAGGTCAAAGGGCATCATAGACTCAGCAGGAAAGGCAGTTTTAGGCACAACTGTTATTAATACAGTTAGAAAGTGCCACTAGTAAATACCTGGATGTTTGTTCTCACCAAATTAGCTTAAAAGCCTTTTTGTTTTTTCTGTTAGTGTTGTCATGGAGACCTAGATATTAAACCTGATTACGGTCCACTTCATAAAGAAGTCTCTGCATGGCTCTGCTGCATCCCGCTGGGAGATGGGGACTAGATCAAGGTCAGGGGTCCCAGGACTAGCAGTACAAGCTTCGCCAGGGAGCTCAAGAGAGCCCCAAATTCTCCAGCACAAAGGCAGTAGTTGTTTCAGAGTCAGATCCACGTGCCTGTATTTTAGACACTCTAGGGAGGGCAGGGAGATGGATCGATGGGCTTGAACACAAGCTTTATATGTGGAAGCCCCAGGTTAGATTCCAAGCACAGCATGGTTCCCTGAGCACCATCAGAAACAACCTCTGAGCACCACTGAGTGGCCAAAAAATAAAACCAAATAAACAATAACAACAACAAAACCCCAAGCCAAACAAGCACTTCACTGGGGATTCATGTGCACCCTAAGCTAAAGACACTCCGGCTGAGTTTCACTCCAGCTACCACTATTGATTGGAAGGAACAGACCACACCTGCTGGGGGTCCTCGGCTGTTGTCGCTATGGGCAGCAAATGGAACAGGGTGGGAAGACAAGGAACAGATGGGCATGGGCCTGCATGGGCCTAACTCTTCCTGAGGGGCACATTCTTCCTTCTGAGGGTCGCCTGCACCTCACCTTAGATGTGTCATTTCTTTCTTCCTCTCTGGGGTTTCTCTCTCCCCTTTGGAGAAACCCCTGTTCTCTCTCCTCTCTCTCTGTTTCTTTCTTTCTTTTTTTTTTGGCTTTCTGGGTCACACCCGGCGATGTACAGGGGTGCTGGGAATCGAACCCGGGTTGGCTGCGTGCAAGGCAAATGCCCTAACCGCTGTGCTATCACTCCAGCCCCTCTGTCTGTTTCTTGGGGCACACCTGGCATGCTCGGGGCTTACTTCTGGCTCTGCACTCAGGAATCCCTCCTGACGGTGTTCAGAGGGACCATATGGGCTGCCAGGATTGAACCCATGTCCTCTGCGTGCAAGGCAAATAACCTACCTGCTGTCCTATCACTGTGTCACCTTCCCCCTTCTCTCTTAAATACTTCTCTCCCTTCTCCTAGTTTCCTAAACACAGCTATTTTTCTTTGAGGGAGTTTTTCTTTCTTTAGGAGTACAGAGGAGTATCCCTTTTACCTTCCAGGTCATCGATGGTTTTCTCCAATTTTGCCACAGACCTCTCGGCAAACTCAGCTCGGGTCTCAGCCTGGGAGTCAAGGCAAGATGGGACAAGATCACAAATCAGGTCTTCCCAATCACAACCACTCTCCCTCCCCTGTAACTGCCACAGGGGTGGGGACTCAGGAGGAGGGCGTGGGCTGGCTGGCCTCTCACCTCCTTTAGCTTCTCCTCCAGCAGTTTGATTTCCTCTTCATACTTATCCTCTTTGGTGGAATACTTTGGGGACAGACACAGATCATCAGCGGACCATCTCCACAAAACCCCCTCATATTCCCACTGAGTTCCACTTTGACACAGCATTGTGGGTTTTTTCTTTTCTGTTTGTTTTGGGCCACATCCAACAGTGCTCAGGGGCGACTCCCTGCTTGGTGCAGAGGGGTCATTCCTGGCAGGACTGGGGGAGACCCCTGGTGCCAGGGCTGCAATCCAGGCATCCTGCATGCACCGTCTGTCCACTAGGCCTTAGAATCACTTCCCGGGCCCATGGTTCCTGAGGTCTCGGCCCCTTCAAACCTCCCCATTCCTCCTGGTCTGGGGACCCTGCCACCCCCGCCCCCCCCCCGCCTCCAGCCTCACTGCCCTCCCCCCCGCTACCTTGTCTGCTTGAGCTTCCAGGGATTTCAAGTTGTTGGTAACAATTTTCAGCTCCTCCTCTAGGTCCCCACATTTACTGCAGGGGGTGTGTGGCAGGGTGGGGTGTGAAGGCACAGTGGGGTGAGACAGTGGAGATGGCAGAGTGCGGGAGGGGAGAGAAGAGAAAAGCCAAGATGTGAGAGTGATAGCCAGCGGCGTGCTGGGGGGCCCTGGGCCCTCCCCAGCCCCAGCAGGTGAGAGGCAGCGGCCCGAGATGGAGAGCTGTGAGCCGAGCAAAGACACGGTTGCCCAGGAAGGACCACAGAGGGCTCTACCTCCTCCTCTGCGGCCATCAGGGACTTGAGGGCCTGGTCCATGGTTCGCAGTTCCTCCTCCAGCTGCCTGGCTCGGCTGGGGGCAGCGGGATGGGGTCAGAACACAGGATGGGTCCCTGCAGCCCTGAGCCTGGAAAAGCACCACCCCGAGGTGCAGGGCCCCCTCAGAGCATGGACTCCTGCCGCTCCCCAGGGACCCTCACCTCTCAGCCACCTCAGCTCTCTCCTCTGAGCGCTCCAGCTCTCCCTCCAGGATCACCAGCTTCCTGGCCACCTGCGGGCAGGACAGAGAGAGAAGGAGATCCATGGTGGACAAAGCGGGGTTATAGAAGGATCCGAGGGATGAGGTGGGCGGGGCAGGGCTGTCACCTCCTCATATTTGCGATCTGAGTCTTCGGCGATGTGCTTGGCCTCCTTCAGCTGCATCTCCTGCAGTTCCATCTTTTCTTCGTCTTTCATGGCTCGGTTTTCAATGACCTTCATTCCTCTGAATGGCAGGGAGATGGTGAGGTCAGGACCAGCCAGGACAAACTCCCTGCCCCTCCTGGCCACCAGTCCCCCCCTAGGCCCCCTGCCTACCTCTCGCTCTCATCAGCAGCTTTCTCTGCCTCCTCCAGCTTTTGCAGGGCCGTAGCCAGACGCTCCTGCGCCCGGTCCAGCTCCTCCTCTACCAGCTGGATGCGACGGTTCAGGGAGGCCACATCTGCCTCGGCCTATATATCAGAGGTCACAGGTCAGAAAGGCTTTGACCTGGGGCTGCAGTGATACCACAGTGGGTAGAGCATTTGCCTTGCACACGGCCATCCCGGGTTTGATTCCCAGTATCCCATATGGTTCCCCAAGCACTGCCAGGAGTAACCCCTGTGCATCGCCAGGTGTGACCCAAAAAGCGGCCCCCACCCCCCTCCCAAAAAAAAGAAAGAAAGGCTTTGACTACCTTGGATGAGAGTTTAGAAGGGCTTCTCAGGATGCTAAGAGTTTTACAAAACCAAAACCAAAACACTAGGCTCCCTGACTTCTAGATTTTCAACCTAATTTTTCTTCTAACCAGACTCTGCAGCCCAAGACTCCATGCTCCATGCCGAAATGTGCATTCCTGCAGAGGCCTCCTCCTGACATTGTGTATTCATTTCCCTCTGTCCCCAGGGACAGCACAACTGCTGGGACCCCAGTGTGTAGCTTAGTCTCAATGGCAGAGCCTGACCCTGGTACCAGGCTTGGGGAACATCAGATCAATCAGAAGGCACCATTGCTACAATCAACCAATCACAGAATGAAGTTACATGGTGTCACCAGCTGCCAGGCAGACTTTCAGTGAGGAACCCATGAAGCAAGCCAGGCCAATAAGCGAAATTCATGGTAGTACCCAGGGGCATTTGGGGGACAGTGTAGGTTGGCAGATACTCCGCCCCTGGTCCTGCAATATGGAGACAAAACCATGGCGGTTTGGGTAAAGATTCATGGGAACTGATGGCATCTTGAGAAAAAGAAGGCCGAGAAGGGCCCCCCAGAAGGAACTTGAGAGGGACTGGAGAGATAGTACAGTGGACAGGGGACTCGCACTCAGTCAAACTGGATTTATTCCTGGCATCCCATATAGTCCTCCAAACTCTGCTAGGAGTAATTCCTGAGTACAGAGTCAGTAGTAACCCTTGATGTTGCCCAGGTATGACCCCATTCAATCCTCCCCCAACACCCCTTCCCCTCCCCCCCACATATACAAAAAAAAAATCCAACCAAAGGAACTTAAGAGAAGCAGTGCAGTTTGGTGTTAAGAAGAGCATTGAAAGAGTCACTCTTGGAGTCATGGTTCAGCTACTCAACACTTATATGACCTTGGGCAACTTCTTTAGTCTCACTAAGCCTCATTTTCCTCCTTTTGAAATCAGAGTCCGCGAGGGCTGTTCTGAGATCCCACAGAGCTCATAATACGCTGTTAATCAACCGGGCCATCTGGGAGGCTTAGGAAACTGAACAGGTTCTCTGGCTCCAGGCTCAAGCCTCTAAATTGAGATCTCCAGGGCCATGGCTTGCACCCTTCATCATCTCCCCCCCCCACTTCATGCTTCCAAGTGAATCTGATGATAAGACAGATTTGGGAAACGGTATAACAATATGCAGAAAACACTTGGACACTTGCCTACACCAAGTCCACACTCCACAAATGTTGGATTCTCCCTGGGTCTCCCTCAAAGACATAGAAACCTTAAGGTTTAAGACTGGGGAGGAGAAACGGTCAGTGCAGAAGGGACAGAGGGACGAGGCAGGTGGCAGTGGGGGGACAAGGTAGGAAACAGTCCCTGGCAGTACTCAGCACCGCATTTACAGGGGGATTTAAAGAGTCCTCCAGGGGCTGAAGGCCACACAGAATGACAAGAGCCTGTCATGGGTACAGCCTGATGACTCAATATGAAAGGATTCTGGGAACAGTATTGGAGGTTGGGAAGAAGGACTCAGAGGATGGTGGAGGACTGCTCTAGAGACAAGACTGTAAATGAAGGGCTTTATTTGTTTTGTTTTTGTTTTGGGGTCACACCTTCAGTGTTCAGGGTTTACTCCTGGCTCTGAGCTCAGAAATCAGTCCTGGTGGACTTAGGGGACCAAGTGGGGCGCTGGGGATCAAACCCAGGTCAGCTACATGCAAGACAAGCACCCTGCCCACTGTGCTATCTCTCCGGCCCCAAGAAACTCTAAGTTGCCCCAAGGTCACATAAGTGTTGAGTAGCTGAACTAAGACTCCAAGAGTGATTCTGCCAATGCTCTTAACATCAAACAGCATTGCTTCTCTTAAACTCCTTTTTTTTTTTTTTTTTTTTGCAGGGGAGAGGAGATGGTTGGGATCACACCTGGCTACTCTTGATGATAGTGGGTGACACATGAGTTTGCAGTCTTCAACTCTAGGCAGACATTTGCCTCTTTTCTGCTTCTCAAGCTCTTCATAGTTATGGATGATACTTTCTAAACACAGGCCAGGCAATACTGTCCCCACTGGACAAGTGGGAAGAAAGGAGAAACTGAGGCACTATGGAAGTGCATGATGTCCAAGGTCGCAATAAGCCTGAGGAGTGTTGCCTACCTCCTCCTGGCATGGCTGCTTGGCCCTGTCTCTCCACTGTCCTCTCTGCTCCCCCACCCCCACCCCAGCTCCTTGGGTTTCCAGCCCGGCTCCAGCTGCACTGGGCTTTGGTTATTTATAGAGTGTCAGGTGCCCGGGGTCGTCTCCACTAGCAGCTGCAGGTCAGTTGTTTCCCAAGTGCCAGAGTTGATGAAGAAACAAAACCAAAAAGTGGAGGTCAGAGAAAGTAACTTGGGCGGTGGGGGGTTGGGACCATGGATAGTGGTCCATATGGACATATGGCATCTCTGATCTCAGGGATAATCAGATCACACTTTCTGCTACCCACCACGCCCCCCCCCCATGCCCCACCAAAGGCTCATCTTAAACTTAAAACAACCCTGGGTGGAAGGCAAATGGGGATGTGGAGGCAGAGATGAGTGAGAACACCGTGTCCAAAATCCTATGGTCATTTTTCTGCCTCAAGACAAGGGTTGGGAATGGCAGAAAGGGCAAGCTTGGTTCACGGGGTAGGGGTGGACAGAAGTGAATAGGACCAGCCACGGTGGCTACCCTTGGCATTTGGGGCTATGCCCTTCTTCTACCCTGTGCCCTAGCATGGTTTTGAAAGTGACAGCTTAGAGAGGGCAAATGAGGGGCCACGAGAACCTGAGCTCTGGCCTCCGAGCAGTGCGGAGCTGCTGGAGCCAGATGTCAAGGCCAGGGAATCTGTGATGGTCCCTGCTGAGTGAAACTCAAGTCAGGGCTCATCTCTGGATTCCTCTCCCTCCTCCTGCCTGCGCACTCTCACATCCACACCCCGCACACCCCCGGTGGAACTGCAGCCTCCTCTCCCTGTTCAGCTGGAGGATTAGCTGAGGTGGATGGTAAATTCTTGCACTACCCACCCCCACGATGACTCACTGCTCGGTCACTGTACAGTTCTCAGAGCTGAACTGAGCAGAATGACGTGCTCTGCGGGAAGTGGTAGGTGGTTTTGATTTACCCTCGGCCTGGCATTGTCTGTGCAGGCTTGCCCTAGTCCCGGTGCATGAGAGGAAATCATTTGGGTGCTAGTGCCATTCTCCCTGGGGTCCCCGTAGCTGAAAGTGCTCCCCATCTGGGGGACCCTCACAGTCACTGCACCTTGGGCCCCTACTTACGTCGGTGGCCTTCTTCTCGGCCTGCTCTAGTTTCTCCTGGGCATCCTTCACAGACTCAGAGTACTTCTCCACCTCGTCTTCAGTCCCTTTGAGCTTCTTCTGCAGGGCCTGCTGCTCCTCCTCCAGCTGTGAGAGAGAGGACTGGTCAGCCAGGCCCCAGGCTTGTATGAGGGGGTCACTAAGAGATCTAGGTAGGCTGTCAGGAAGAGGGACCAGAGGAGGGATGGTGCACGTACGGGTGCAGGGTGGGGGGTGGGGGTCCGAAACTGGTGAAGGTGGAGAGAAAGCTTCTAGCCTCAAGGAGCTGGATCCAGCTCCGCAATGGCAGGAGGGGACATAGAACCTGGTTATGGAGGGTGAGACTTGTGTCTCTGGCTAGTGCTCTTAGGAGCACCCTCAAGACCGAGCCCCCACACTGGAGGGTCTTGGGCAAGTAGGCCTATACCCGCCTCCAGATGCCGGGCAGAGGGTCGCCTGTGCCCCGAGCCCCACCTGCTTGCAGCGGTCCTCAGCCTGCTTCTTGTCGGCCTCGGCCTGTTCGGCGCGGTCGATGGCATTCTCCTTGTCCAGCTTGAGCATCTGCATCTTCTTCTTGATGGCGTCCATGGCTGCGGTGGGTGGTGGGCCGGCCGGCGGGCGCTGACGACTGGGGTGGGGATCGGGGCTGGCTGCGACGACGACAACGACGGGGTAGCCCGGGTGGCGAGTGAGGAGGACCGAGCGCGACTGGGATGTCCCGGGGGCACGAACGTCTAAAAGGCGGGGAGGAGGCCGGGCGGAGCCGGGGGCCTGGACCCTCCCCCACCGCGGCCCAAACCTTGTAGGGGCAGAAGCACAGCCGGGACCGGGGGCGCGGTCGCCCCCTGAGCCCAGCCCTCTCGGGACCGCCCCCAAGGAGCCCCGCCCCGCCCCGCCCCCGCCGTCGGAAGGGCGGGTGGCCGGGCAGTGCGGGGCGCGAGCCCGGCCGCGGGGAGGGGACCCTGGTCTGGGGGCTCCGGGCTCTGTCTGAGTGACAGCCCCGCCGGGTGGCAGCTGCCACCGCGGTCCCAGTGGCTATTTTGGGGCTTGAGCTCACGGCAGCTGCCCGGGGCGCAGGGAAGGGGAGCCCCCCCACCTCCACCCCCTCAGCTGCTGCAGCCGCTGCCCTTAATTTAGAAGTTTCCTGCAAATCCCACCAGGGATTAAATGTCTCTTGGGAGGCGGGGCTGCTTCGCGGGCCTGCTGCCTCGGTTTCCCCCCGGTGCCAGACCTTGGGTGCGCCTTGCCGACGTTGGCGGTGGTAGTGGTAGTGGTAGGAAGGCTTGCAAGGGACCGGGGAAACTGAGGCAGGAGCTCAGCCCCCAGGCCCGGCTTGCCGCCCCAGGGGGCGGGTCTGACCTCGCCTCCCCTCAAGTCCCCTCTGCACGGCCGCTGGGCCCCGCCCGCCCCCACGTGCCCCGCATACTTTCCGCCCCCCGCTAGCCCGCCCCGCGCGTCCGGGAGCGCTCCGCACTCGCTCTCCGGTCTCCGCCTCTGCTCCCGGCCGCCCGCGTCCTTCCCGGGTGGGCCAGCCTGACGCCGAAATGTCTTTTCTGCCCTTTTTTGGGAAGTTTCCCTGTGGGGAGGCGGGGCCGCGGCGAGGGCGCGGCGGCCGAGCTGCGGGAGGCGGCCGGCAGGGCTGATGCTGGGGGACCCGGACAGCCAAGGCCGAGTCGCGGGTCCCGGGGCTCCCCCGCTGGGTCGGGGCAGGGGGTGTACTAGGGGCGGGGAGAGGCGCCTGCGGGAGGAGGCAGGCGGGGAGATGAGCCCGAGGGAACCGGGAGGGAAGCGGTGTCGCTCCGCAAGGCCCGGGCTTTGGCTGGTGCGGCGTCACCGTGGGAACCTGGGCCCCGGCCTCCGGGAAAATGTTGGCATCTGCCCACACTGAAGAACCCGCGCTGGACGGTCCGCGCCTCTCTCGCTACTTCCCACCAATTAGCTTTTTTTTCTAGATGCCGCTGGGGTCCTTATATTCCCTCCTGTCTGGGACTGTGGTTGCCCTGCGGCTTATTCCTGCCTGCCATCGTTCCTCCACACAGTTATCAAAGATACTATAAAAATTTAATGCAGCTAGGGGCTTAAACTTCTCCCAAGCCCCTCCCTCCCCCCTCTCTCTCTCCTCCCTCCTTTGAGGATAAAAACCCACATTTCTTAATATGGTATAGAAGGCCCTTTGTTTCCACCCTGCCTAGCTCACCAGCCTCATCCCTTTTCATGCCCAGCCTCATCCCTGATACACAGACATGGGTTCAGTATTGTTTACAGAGTGCTTCTGCAGGAGCCAGAATTAATCACACTTTTCTTTTCTCTTTCTTTTTGTATTGGGGCCATACCCAGCAGTGCTCTCGTGGTGCTGTGGGATCCATATGCTGAAGATTCAATACTTGTTGGCTGCTTGTAAGGCTTAGTGCCTGACCCACTGTTTTATCTCTCAAACCCCTAGCCAGGCCTGCCTTTCCTTCCTTCCTTCCTTCCTTCCTTCCTTCCTTCCTTCCTTCCTTCCTTCCTCCCTTTCTTTTTTTGCTCTCTTGCTTGCTTGCTTTCCCTTTCATACTTTCCCACGCCCCCCCCCCTTTTTCTTGCTATCCTGTTTGCTTTCTTGCTTTTCATTTGGGGGGGGCATAGCATACTCAGTAGTGCTCAGGGATTACTCCTGGCTCTATACTTAGGAATCACTCCTGATTGTGTACCCATTCCTCCACCAGCGTACATTTTCCACCACCAATGTTTCCAGTATCCTTCCACCACCCCCTCCTCGCCTGCTACCCCTACCCAAAGCGTCTGTGGCAGGCACATTCCCTTTTACTCTCTCTCCTTTTGGGTGTTATGGTTTGCAATGCAGGTCGTAAGTGGCCAACATATTTGGTCTATAGTCTGCTGTCAACACGCATCTCCCATCCCGAGAGAGCCCTCTAAGCTTCATTCACTTAGTGGTCCCTTCTCTATCCCATCTGCCTTTTCCCCCAGCATGTGAGGCTGGCTTCCAAACTGTAGAGCAATTCTCCTTAGCCAGACTTTTCTTAAGCTTCTACCTTGTGCACTGTGTTCCTTCTCCCTAAAATGCTTTTCTCCCAGAAGCTTCAGCTAGAGCTTCTGGGAAAATCCTGGCCATTTCTCCCTTCAGACCCTCCACCTAATAGCTGCAGGGCTGGTACAGTCTCCAGCCCTGGATTCTGAGAGAGCTTGGCTCCTCCCTTGCCCCACAACTCCTTCTCTAGAATAGGGGCTTCCGGCCCTGAGTTCCCAAAGCTGAGCCAGCACCACAGTGGTGGCACTTGATAAACGTTTGCCAGGTGGTTTTTCTGGAGAGGTTTCCGGGTACACAAAGAACCTGGCAGAATCCATGGTCTAATCCTTTGCTTCTCAAACTTGGATCTTAGAACTTCTTATTCTTTTAAATTACAAAGACCCCCCCCCCAAGCTCTTATTGAGGGGGGTTTTGTTTATCAATACTTACTATGTTAAAGTAGAAGCAGAAAAAAATGGAAGCAGAAATTTACATGTTAGTCTTTCTGTTTTAGATTTTTGGGTTACAGGGTTGTGCTCAGGGGTTACTCCTGGCCTTACTTGTGGGACCACAAGTGGTGTTACAGATTTGGCTGCATGCAAGGGAAGCAATTTAACCCATGCACTACATCTCTAGCTCCTGATTTTAACTTAGTAATCTATTAAAAAAATAACAAAAAAAAACAGAGATTGGAGAATTAGTACAAAGGTTTAGGCACTTGTCTACTATATAACTGATCCTCGTTCAAGCCCTGATGTAGCTTATGGTCCCTTGAGCACCACCAGGAGTGGTTCCTGAGCACCTAACCAGGAGTAAACCCAGAGCACAGCTGGGTATACCCTCTCCCCCAAAACACACACACACACACACACACACACACACACACACACATAAACACACATCCTTCAGTTAATGAAAAAATAGAAGTTATTAATACTTAAAAAAATCTCTTTAATATTCTGGCCTAATAGAAGACAATGCGCTTCTCAAAAATCTCCTTGTGGAGCAAGGGATGTGACTCGGTAGAAAACGTGTCTGCATATGTCAGGCTCTGGTTTTACTCCCCAGTGTCTGAGCACATGTATCTACACACACAATTTGTGCTTTTCTGTCTGTTACTGCAAGTCGTGTATCAAGAAAATCCAGTCACACACATATTTGGAAAGTAGCATAGCCTTTTCAGATAATTGTGGCTATTCTTTGATAGCATACTCTGTCTTTTATTTTTAACTTTTAAAGTTAGGAGATGCAAAGTCTGGAACGCCATCCTCAGGCTTTTTAAAGCAAGAGTTCTAACTCTTCGAACTCTCTCCTCCGCTCAGAAGATAGTTTCTTAGGGGTTAGTAACCAGGGAACCTAAAACTGTTATCAGTAACTTCTTTGTGCTGCTTTACATTACAAAGCACTGTTTTGTCAAACACTTGGGCTGGCTCTTTTACCCGGGGCTAATTTTGTAACAACATACATTGCCTCACTGGGCCCCATAGGTCTTCCCAATGCTGACACAATTTGATATAGGTAAAGGTAAAGGCCCTCCCGTTGATCGTCGATTTGCTCGAGCGGGCCCAGTAACGTCTCCATTGGAGACTTTGTTGTTACTGTGTCTGGCATATCGAATACTCTCGGTAGCTTGCCGGGCTCTCCGAGAATTTGATATAGACACATTTAAAATTTATTTAACTCCTTTGAGTCTTTTTGTCATTTTTTTTCTCATTGTAGTCTTCACATCTTCTTATATAAAACAATTTTTCACTTTAGGGGTCTGAGAGAGAACAATGGTGAAGTATATGCTCATCACTGGTAGCACATGGTCCCTTGAACATTGCTGGGTGTGACCCTGAAGATCACCTGAACACTGCTAGGAGCATCCTGGTCTGGAGATGCCTGTGCAGTACAGGGGCGGCCCAGGTAACCCCCTGACATGATGGGTCCATGCAGGACTGATAAGAACCATGGGGAGAGGTGACCCAGATTTCCTGAGCACTGCTTATATGACCACCCTGCCAAAAGTTTCTAATAAAAAACATTTAAAAAAAATCTTTGCTGAGGGTGCCCTGGGGAAGAGGTGGTGCCAGGAATTGAACTTAAGTCTTCTGCTCCAGTTCCCTGAGACATCTCAAAAAATTTTTTTCCCCAATACCATTCAAACTGAGGCCTCACACATGCAAGGGATGTGCTCTACCACAGAGCTCTGTCTCCAACCTGTATAAACATACAAATAAATAAAATAAATAAAATAAAATCACATCTCGGGGGCTGGAGAATATAGTACATCAGGTAAGGCACCTGCCTTGGGTTCAATTTCCCGAACCACATACAGTCCCCTGGGTACAGCTGGGAAAGAGCCCTGAGCAGAGTCAGGAGCAGGCCCTGAAAGCCTCTGGGTGTGGTCCGAAAACCAAAAGCGAGACATAAAGTGAAATATCACATTCCTCAGGGGGCTGGGGTTATGGCTCAAGTGTACATGCCTTGAGATTGGGCACGGCCCCACCACAACAAAGCACATTCTTTAGCATCGAGATTGATTTACACAGAAAAGTCTGGAGCTGGAGAGATAGTACAGCGGTAAGTACTTGCCATGTTCGCAGCAAACCCAGGTTTGATCCCCAGCACCATATATGGTCACCCCAATCCCTGCTGGGTGAGGTTTCCCCACTTACCTCCTCCCAAAAAATTAAACAGAAAACTCTCAGTTTTAGATTTTGCGAAGCTGTGAAACTCATGGTGGCAGACACAAGTTTTCTGAAATTTGAAATTTTTGAAAGCCTGAATCATACAAGAAAAATTGTATTTTCCCTGAAGTGAGTCTCACTTGATTCCCTTTTGAGAAAATATCTGCCAGATATTTCAGTCTGCTAAGCATGCTTTGTCTAGCAGTCGTTCTCCCAAGTTAAATGTGTTGCATGAAGCACACAGCTAATTGGGCTCAGAGCCTCAAGATTAGTTCCCCAAGACAAATGCACCAAGACAAGACAAGAGCCCCAAGACAAGAGCCACCACCAGCTGGGCAGCAGGTGCGGACACAAGCTTCTTGCTTCACAGAGAGCTGAGAGGACTTGCTTATTAAGACTTAACTAAAGTCATAGCTTCTTACTGCCTCATGAAGGCCTTTGATATTTGAGTTTTTTTCTTTTTTTTTTTTGCCTAGTGCTGGGGATGGGATTCAGGGCCTCAAGCCTGTGAGGCTGCCTCTCCATATCATTAGTGCTTAAAAGCATTCTTGGGCAATGCTCTGGCCACCAAGCAGTGCCAGGGATTGGACCTGGACCTCCTGTAAATGATGTGTTCAGCCCCTTCTTTTTAATTTTTTTTTCAGCCCCTTAAACTGAACTTTCTTTGCTCAGAGGATATTCCTTGCTGTGCTCAGAAGTGACCCCTGGTGGTGCTTGGGAGACCATCTGTAGTGCCAAGG